AATTCGATGCTAAAAGAGCTGGAAATGATAGTTCTTTTTTTAACAAAAATTGGTATGCAATAGGCGACAAAGGTTAGAGCCAGGGTTAAATTGAAAGAGAAAAAAAATTCTTTATCACACAACATCCGCAATTATGATAATCGAAGGCTGGAAAATTTCGATTTCGATTTTCAATGGCGTTATTTGCGATGATCTAAGACGAAAGCCAATGTCTTGCTGAAACACAGCAAACAAGTTTAACCTCTCGTATTTCTTATAGCCTCGCATTTTATTGCCTTTTTCTCTTAATTTTCACAGTTTGTTGCAGCCAAAAGTAAATTGAATACATATGTACGTATGCGTGTATTTGTATGAAAAAATGCAAATAATAATCCAAAAAAGTCCATTGTCAGTTCCCTTACATAATAAAAAAAAATTATATATATGAAAATGTATGTGCATATTTAGCCCCGGCAGATGTCTGCCCCGCCAGACTCTGGTAGATACATGTTGTCAAATTCGCCGGAATACACAGAATTACGAGCGGTGTCTAGCCAGTCTGCGCGTCACGAAGTAAAATGGATTCACTTTTATTTTAATTGTGTGTTGAGTGCTGCACTCTTCTTGCACTACTCTATATGTCCATCTGCCGCCATCACTCCACCTCTCTAATGGCAATTTGTCATTTCAATGCGATTGTGGCAAGTTCGCTGTACTCGCCGTAATTTCGGAAGTGGTAATGTCAGCTGTCGGAAACTTGAGTGGCTCTGAGTTCGTACGATGACAAACTTACATACGTTTCTTCGTGTGTGTGTGTGTGAATGCACAAGTATAATATGAATCAAAATTTCCGATCAACCGTGGAAATTTCAAGCTCGTATGTCTCTCACAACTTTTATCGTTCAGGAAGGCAATAATGCGTTAATCTAAATCCATAATAATAACAAGTAAGGAAGGGCTAAGTTCGAGTGCAAAGCATGCTAAATACCTTCAGGTGTTGGCAAAACTTTATACAGATTGACCGATATTTTCGGCAAAAAGTCAGCCATAGGCTCTGGGGTCCACATTTCCGGTATCTGCAGGCTTGATAAGTTATGGATTAAATTGGAAAGTGAAAAAATTTATGGAATTTAAAGATTTCCTTTACATAAGAACGTCGAGATAATTTTATGTACCAAATTTGGTTGAAATTGATGGAATAGGTTCGGTGAAATGTGATTTTGCCTAAATGTGTGTGGGCGGTGCCGCGCCCATTGCCAAATATTGACAAGTGGACCTATAAAGCCCTTTAGTGTCATCTCGGATGTAAAATTAAATGTCTGATGCATTTCATTATTGAATTACAGGTGAATTTTTGGGTGTTCAAGATGAGCCATATCTACCAAAAATTAAAGAAAATGGAATTATATAAGCAGTTTGTTTTGCTTCAGCAGGCTAATATTATATCTTCTTATAGATCAACTCAACAGACTGGTGGACCATCTGTCATTTTGTCTTGAGTTTCTCCTTCTTTTTGAAGATCGTTTTATGCATTAAAACCGCTAGCTTTGCTGTCGTCCCAATATCTGTACTGTGTTAGTAAGAATTTGAGTCTGATCGACTTTAATATAAATTGCTTTTTACCGCTTTTTATCACGAGCTCACAGCATTCTACTTTCTGTGCGGATATTTTATGCATATTCTCTCTATTTAAATATGCACATCGCGAAACTTTTATTTCTTTTTCCTTCTCAAAGTTACTTCGAATATGTGTTAACTAGTTTCGATTGCATAATTCGCATATATTTCGTGCGATTCTATGCCAATACTTTTTGCTAACTAGTTTCACTATTCGCTGTGCTTGTGTTGGTTTTGATTTATTTGCGAATTTTTGTTATATAAATTTGCCTAACGCTTAGAAAAGTTCAGTCAACCACGCTGTTTGTATATTCTGTCGTATTCACTCTCGTATTTGCGCTAGACTTAAGCGGAAAGGCCATAAAATGGAGCGCCAAATAGACTTTTCATCTGGTGAATGTGTGTTCGGATGTGTGACAAAAACGTCAATTTGTGGAAATTCATAAAATATACTCGTATATATTATAACGGATTCCATTCGCCTGAAATAATTACTGGACATTACTTAGTGTCGTGTTTGCTGCTGTGCATATACACACGGGCATATACTTGTGGGCAAAAGTAGCTTTGTGTCTGAAATTTAACGCTTTTAAGGAAAGTTTAAATTGTAGCAATGAAACAACAATAGAAATAACAACATGAGAAACACTCATGGACATCCGCGCGTACGCACACATGCCTACAAGCATACTCGCTCGTATATTGCTGTATTGTTGTTTGATTTAATTCAATTAACTGCAAAATGATATTCCTTCAAATGTATAACTGTTATTTGCTTTGTTTGATATACAATTTTGTATGTGATGAGGCAGAACACCATGTTCAAACTAAATTAGTCTTCAAAAGAATATCCATTTAAAGAAATATAAAAAATTCAAAAAGTCGCTTAAATCACTGAGTGAAAATTATATTCAAATCAACTTTCATTTTCAATGCTCTTTCATAACCCAAACACTGTACACTTCTCTCCTAGGTTATATAATAACATTAGAACCAAAGCATCGAGCCACTTCTATTAGTTTTCCTTCGCCCGGCGAATATAGAGAAAAAAGCATTAAATTAATACTTCTTATATTCAGAAGAACTAAATGGTCTTCCCCTCATCTTGCATACTCACCTACCATTTTAGATTCGCTAAACATTTTTGTGAATTAAAGAGTCGAACTTCATTCAAATTGTTCAAGTAGATTCGTGCGTATGGATGTGCTAGTGTAGCGAGTGTTGATTTCACACATGCAGCTCTCCACCGACAACAATGTGATATTTACTGCCGTTGTGTGTTTATTTAATTAATTGTGGCTGACTGTAAACAGTCAATTGGCTGATATCACGCATATGCTGATACCCTGACAAACACAAACACTTCACAATATACTTGTATATATACAAGTATGAAAATATTAATATGCTGCTATATGCGTGGAGAGTACTTAGACATAAGAGCGGGAATTAACTCGTGATACATACGCTTCTAGTAATGATAAGCCAAATATTTATTATTATTCAAACGAAATATAATTTGCTCATATGTCGTGAAAATAGAAGACACTTAGGACTGTTAAGGTTCTAGCTGTAGTAATAAATGTTATTGCAAACTAATGGCAAAGCAATCAGAAATTAAGTCAAATAATTTGTATTTCTTTAGTGAAATGTAATATTAATATTTTCTTTGGACACTGGTTAACTTTAAGAATTGATGTTGTTAGAGAGTAGCGAATCGAACAAGCCAATTGGTAGAAATCACATACAGTGGAATAATCAAATATAGAGAGACTAATCGGTGGTAACCACAACGCTCTTGTTGCTTTTACGTCTAGATTTCTTTACCCGAGAGCAGAGAAGTGTGAATCTAACTTTTGAAAGAGCATATCTAGCATTGATTATAAGTACCTGCTTCACTAGTTCCTCTTAAACTGTGACAAAGTTAAAGAAGAGTAAGAACTAAGAGTTTCAACAATAAATATGTATTAATGGTGGGGATTATGATTGTCTAATAAAACACCAAATTAAAATATCAATTTACTGCTCACCAATCTAAATCCAGAAGAACAAATCATGCATTTCTTTCTTCTTCATTTAAAAACGGAGGTTGAGTAATTTCTTCGGAAAATACTTTTTACTCAGACTTCTCTCTTCTTCATTTAAAAACGGAGGTTGAGTAATTTCTTCGGAAAATACTTTTTACTCAGACAAGTACTTAGGTCTATAATTTGTATTTAAAAATAAATCAGAAATTCATAGAAACAATACTCAGGCTGCAATTTCGTTTAGCTTTATGCCTTTCGGCGTGTTTTGCACACCGCTGATCTTCCTACTGTAAACAGTTTGTACGAGTGTTTCAGCAAATACACCCACACCAAAGAATGCGTAAGCGTTTAAATTGCGCGCAGACTTTCTGATGAGGGTAATTTCTAGTTAGCACTTGCCCACTGTGTAAACAAATCAGCCGATTAATTAGTTGTTGCTTTCGAATTCCAGCGCGGCGCGTTTGAGTGCCTGTTGAAGAGCAGTTGCAAAGCTTTCTTCCTATTTATTTCGTTAAATTCTGAAAAATGGGGGTGAAGTGGAGATTTGTGTGCGTGTGTTTGGCTATTTGGGTCCGCTTACGCGTCATGGAAATTCGAATGCCGGCCGGCAAAAGGGCGTGACAGCCGCCACACCGTTGCCCATTTTCAAAGGAAAATATTCAAAACTCGGTCATTACGACGGAAAAAATGTGCTTCGCGTTGACAGTAGAACTGCTGACAGTATCATCAAAAGTAAAAAAAATAAATAAAAATACGTGTTGAAACTAAGACCACTAACTAGGTACTCGAACGGTATTGTATTTTTGGCAAACGACTATTCTAGAGATGTTATAGAATTAAATAAGACAATAAAAAAACTTTGTTTTTTGAAGCCGTGAAACCCAGGATTAAGGGTTACTCCTTAAGACTGATTCCGCGACATGTATTTGTTCCATGATTTTACGGCTCTTTCTCCTGCTTTAATTATTTCTCCTTCGCTTTAATTATTTCTCTATCTCCTATTGCATTAATTATGGTGCTAACGAGCCCAACCGTCATTATTCAAATGATTAATTTCACTGTTTGGGTGACTACTGGTCACATTTGTTGGCATGTCTGAATATAAGAGGCGAAAGGATATGAAAAGGAAATATTTGCATTTTTAAAGCATATTTGAGTGCACTTTTTTTCGTTTTTGTTTTTAAATATTATATCAAGTTCCTTAATAATTTTTATTTCAAATTGTATACTAGCCGCTTTAGTCATTACGCTTTTTGGGAATGATCCTAAATGTAGGCTGCGTTTCATATATTTATCTAAAACAATGCCTATAATTAGCGTTAAAATGGATCTCATAACCTAGGACCTAGCATATAACTGACGGTTCAAACAAAGTTATAGATCTTTTTATAAGCGTTTATGTTTAATGTTTTAAAAAAGTCATTTGGCAGGTTATTATAATTTCCATTTTCGTCTAAATTGTGTGTTTTCCCTGTATGAATATTTATGTATTTTTTACTCGAAGATATGGGCAAACTATTCATCTGCCATCTGCGCTGGTTTATCGACAATGATCCGAGGAGGAAGTCGGTGCAGTTATATACTCTCAGCCGTTCAGCAATTGCAAGCTACTTGAGGGGATAATTTAAAGTAAAAACAACAATAAAATCAGAGCAATAAACTAAAATATTAAGCACAAGTGCAACAAAGAAAATAAAGATATTAAAATACAAGGAATGTCGTGAACAATCAGGAATGTTGTCTCTTGAAAACAAACCGGAAGTTTGGAGTAATGCACAAACATGTTTATTCGCCACAACTGCTTCCTAATATGATTTATAAATTCAAACATGCATCTATACATACATAACTATGCTTTCACGCATCAGATGGAACTTGTCGACTTGTTGCTGTGCGTCACTACATTTAGGTCACACATGAATCTTTAAACTAAACAAATTTATGAATTGTTCATGCACGTTCGGCACATTACCACCAGCACAAGCAGTGTGTGCGCGTGTGTTTTAATAGTGCACGAGTTAAATTGGTTGCCATTAGAGGCATTGACATTGTCATTTCTTGTTTTCATTATTCATGTGCCCATTTGTGGCAGAGCAAGTGCGAACTGCCATAAAAATATCAGAAGCAACAGCGGCAAGAGTAGCAACAAAAACCGGAAATAACGGCAATTCTCGCACTAACTCGGCCTACACTACACTCGTTCGCATTGCAGCCGTGCTCATGTGTGTGTGCGTCAGTCACCTCGATTGAACAATTTTGTTTATCGAATTCGCACATTCAGTTGTTCGTGTGTAAGCTTTCAAGAATTACACGGTTTTTGTGAATGAAAAATAGTATATGTGGATATATGAGTGTGTGTGTTGGATTTCGATTTGCTTGTTTCACTTGTTGTTTCTATTATTCCGCTTTCTTTTCCGTTTAATTTGTTTGCTTTTGTGTTTTCCTCTTTGATTAATTTTTCTGTTGTTGTTGCCTGCCAGCTGTTCGTTTATTGTCATCAATGAATTTCAACGGAATTCTTGAGAATCGCTTTTAAAAATAGCCGACAACACGTCAGTTGATTGGGAACTTTTGAATGACTGCCAAAGTAAACAAACGGCGGTTAAACACAAGCATTTGTCCATATACGTGTGAGTGTGTGTGTGTGTGTGTCTGACATGAGGGGGGAAACATATTCGATTTTCCAACATCCTAATTAAATAGTTTGAATTGAAAATTAAAATTTTATTAACAATGATACGATTATTCAAATGTGACCAATAAAAATCGACGTGTTTAGACGTGCTAGAGTATTTTGTATATTAAATTCCGCGCTTCCACTGAACACCAATTTGGCTAATAAACTCGAGTTAGTGGCGTAGTGCTGAACATGTAGAAAAAAAGCCTTACTCGCATTCTATAAAATAGTTTCCCGCTCCTCAAGTTCACAAATGCCCATAATCAAATAACACTGTAGCTTTCAAGAAGTATGTGTGTGGTGAGCTTGCGTCGATATGTTTGCCGCGCGTCAATATTTAAGTAAGAGTGACAGCCATAAATTAAATAATTACTCGGTTATTAAAAGAAAACAACAACACTCAGCGACAGCAGGTGGGCATTAAAAATGGTTTACGTGTAGCATTTCTTAACAGAATGACTGTCAGTGTTACGTGCTTACATAAATGAACGCCTATATACATTCATATATACTCTATAAATATTGTTATAGACTTCGTAGCTCAACTTACCACACACACACACATAGATTACGCTGTGTACAGGCCTGATCATATGCGGGCACTAGATTATGCCGTGCAATGCCATTTATAGAATCCAGCACGAGACAGACTGAGACTGAAAGTTTGCATTGCTCAAACACATATTTCTCACAATTTCCTTATTCGGAGTGACTTCCGCGGCCGTGTGCTTATGAATTTTAATTTGTTGTGCTGAGATTATGGCTGAAAGCTATTTCGTCGCGTAGTAACAAATAAATACGCTGCTGTGTTATAGAAACCAGTAAATGCTGTAAATTTTTATTACGAAAAATATTGAATTAATATTTTTACACTTTTTTAAAGTCAATGAATCCATATGCCTTCTTATGCTTTCAAATTTAAATTATATATCGAATATTTATATCCTCAATAGGCTACAGTAAGTTTCTCGCGAGGATTTTAATACCTAAAAGTAAACGTGGTAGAACCTATAATGTATGTATTCATATAAAACTGAGTCGATTTAGCTAGGTCTCTCAGCTTTAAAGATATCAAGAAGTTGCTAACTTGTCGGAACTGTCTATATCGAACTATTTTAGGGTAGAGCATACAAACTGACCGTTAAAAATCAATTTCTTATATTGAAAACTTTTACTAGATATCTTCACGAAAATTTGCATGGATTATTGCTCAAGACAGCGGTACAATCGCCGAATAAATTGGTCAGATCGGGCCACTATAACATATATTTGCTGATCAACATGTCCGATCAAATCAAGATAAAAATCTTTTTATACCCTTTAGGGCTATAAGAAATGCACATGTAAAGGGTATTATAGTTTCGGTGCAAGAACCCTTCTTGATGACATTTGTTAACTGTCGCCCTACATTTGAGCACAAATTATAATAATAACATAAAAAATTATAAAAAAATGTTAATAAAAAACAAACAATGAAATTTAGGAAAAAAATTTATAAAATATGAATTTAACTACAATTTGTCTCCACAAAGCACACCACTTTCTCTCACTTTTGCATTTCAAAATAATTAATGCTTCTATAAACTTGCAGGTTTACTTCTCAAAATCACTTTTTACACAAAAATTTAACGAAAATTTATTTGCTGAGTGACATATGAAGTGAACCATTTAAATATTATATAAACACTTACAGCAAGCAAGCACCATCAAAGGTTCTAATCGCAAAAATATTTTATACAGATCATAAGTGTCAAAAAAATTAAAAAACACGTCATTGTGTGAATATATATCGTCTAGATCAATAAGTATATGTAAATAAATAGTGATTTTTCTACTACTTATTCCACGGGTTTAGTATAAATATTGATATTGTGATAATATTTGATAATTAACAAGTTAATAACTTTATTGGTATAATTAAAAAACTTTTTACAATGCAAAATATTAGTAGCAAATAACATATACAAAGCGTAATTACTCCTCAATAAAGTTTACATAAAATAATGATGAATTAAAACTCTTTAAAAATCCACACTTCTCAACTTTAAACTCTAAACAATTTAATAATAAAAAAAAAACTTTTTAAATCATCTTTTCCAATCTCGAAACTAAAATTGAAAATGCAATCGAACTTTAATGCAATACAAGCTATAAATTTACAAAACTGCTTATAAAACTAAAATTCCTCAACTCGGCTTACACACACACACACGCTCATTGCTGTGTCTGTATCTGTTCTGCTCATCATTCGAGTGTAAAGTCGGCACCGGCAGCGTTTTGCACCAGCCAGAGAGCGTTAAGTGTGTAAGTAATTAGCAGCATTCCACTCGGCGTTTCGTCAGGTGGATATCTATCGTCGGTGCTTGCAGCTGCGTACAGAACAAGTCACGCTGATGATGGGATACATCATGGGGTGTGCTTGTTTCAAAGGTAAAGGATTCAAAGGTACATACAATTCCAATTCCCATTGCTACAGTTGCATTGAACTTTTATATACAATTAAAAAAAAAAAATTTTTTTACAGAGCATAACATGTACGAGGATTCTCATCTATTTTCTAGCATTTTTTAGATTTAAACGGATTTGAACAGCACGCGAGTAATGCTTTTCAAAAGTCCTTATTAAGTTCTATTTATTTATGTTTTGCTTAAAATTACTTTATGTGAAGGAATAAAAGCCAATTTTCCTTTTGTTTAGTGTATTCTCCCCCACGCTTTCGCAAAGTAATTATTTTAATGCATAAATTTGCAGCAACGAGCTGTGCATTTGGCAAAGCAAATGAGCCGTGAAGTCTTAAAATACCCGCTACACATGTCGGCTATCATTTAGTGTTGCATCTGTTGAAATTCACACATGATTCCCACGCACAAATTGTCGAGCAACAATAACAACAACAACAGCATCAGCTGCTCATTCATGCATTGTCTGAAAAGCACCTTTTACTATTAATGCCTGCAAGTAATTGTATTTTTCAAAACACACACATATGTGTGTATGTGGTTGGGCTGTAAGGACAATGCATATCCGTTATTTGTGTGTGCACATGCAAGTTTAAAGCTGTTTCACAAAAGTTGCATTTCAGTTGCATTGAATTTGCATGAACACTTCCACTAAGTGAGTATGCTTTATTAAAATAAGTGCTGAAAATAAACGAATCTGCGAAAAAGTAACAGGAAACACATTTGGACAAAAACATCACGCAGTACGGATTTTCAATTCAAGCCCTCTTCCTTTTGAAGCCTTCTTACCGCGATATTATCTAAATTCTTTCCATAGATAGAGCTATATCTCTTCTAAAATTATTATTTTTATTATTTAGTGCAAAAAGCCAATTAGACAAATTCGTTCCAAACACTATCTCACTTCCTACACTGCATATTTGTCACACAATATTTCCAAACAATTTCGTAGCTTCATAGCAATAGCCATTGTTACCCACAAACGAGTTTCCACAGTTCTTTATCAGTTCACTCACATATTCCACGCATTTAAACTAATTATGCCTCCATTCGCCCAATAACAGTTAAGTCAATGCAAAGGACATACAAACACACACACAAACACTCATTAGGGCATGTGAGAAATTGCGTCCTTAATGCATTTACTAGTTGCTGTATGCAAATTAAAACGGCATATAAAACAAAAGAAGGGAGCGGTAAAAAAAGAGCAGCACAAGGATTGTGGAAGAACGTGCTAAAAATATTATGTTGCCTACCCACAGGCGTGTGACATGTGATTGCTGCTGTAGCACCAACAACGCGAACACACCTAGCTTTGCACGCTACCAGCGCCCCAATTTACAGTCGCATTTGCCACGCTGTCCACCACGTTGCCACATTTGCCTAATTTTGCGCGCAGTACTTCAGCAAACACGGCTCGTCCACTTTGTCGTAAGTTTCCGTGTTATGTTTGCGTGTCCTCATGTGTAGTCGCTGCAGCTATGTAGTGGTCATGCCACTGTGAAGGCGTTTGTTATGTTTACTGGTTGCAAATTATAGATTTTTCGTGCAATCGTCGCTGAGAAATTTTTAGGTTGCGTCTAGTTTGTTGTGGTTTTTTTTTTTTTCTTCACTTCCGCTTTCCAGTTTATACCAAAATCATTAACGCCAAAATCGTAGGCGTGTGTGGAATATGTTTTTTTTATTTTAATTTCGTGGTAAATTTTTGTGATTCGTTCTGCGGTTTCCGCCTTATTGAGATTGTTTGAAGTAATCCTGCATATTTTAAGGCGCGACCATGCGGAGAGGAGGTAATGGGTGTTTCTTATTATTGTTTATGTCGAGAAATTAAGGTTAAAATTTACATATAACTTGACCGAAGAGGAAGAGTTGGTCGTATGTACACAATTTGGTTGGCAGAAAAATTAAAAAAAGGCACTCAATATTTTCGAACTCTGTATTTGCTGTATATTTATAACACTTTCACCTTCTCGCCTTTCATTTTATTTTTTAGAATTTTTTGTTTAGCTGTATTACAATTTAAAATTTGTATTTTAAAACCAAATTTTAAATATCACTTCGAATTTTAGCTATTCGCTGCCCTGTGAAATCGCGTATACAAAAGTAAATTTATACGTCCACCGTCCCGCTTAAAAATGATTGTTTTTTTGCAAATTTTTAGAAACATTTGGAACACGAAGAGTCTTCAAATACATTAAAATTCCAGGAATGAAAAATGTTCATCTAGTTTTATGACTACGCTTTCCCAGGAAAAATTCTAAGAAACCGTTAGCACTTACCTAACGTTTTGATTTAACGTTTAGTCGAGATAACTCCTCGACCTTTCAGGAATTCATTTCGATGCAGAAGTAATTGCATCAAGTGCCATGGAATGTTGACTTCACTAACACGCTCACAATTCTCTACACTCCAATAGCTATGCATGTTTAGAAGTGCATTTCCATACACATTTCACAAGTGCAACCGTGTTCGTATGTATGTGTGTGTTAGTATGGCGTCAACGCATACATCACCAGCCTCAACGTCACGGCATCGTCGGAATGTGAATTCATTTCGCATTTCACTCTACATGTGATTTGTGTGTGTCGTTGTTGTTATTGCGTGTTTTGTTGCTTTACCCAAACGACGTGACTGTCATTGCGCAGGCGCTGTGAGAGCGCAAGACTTGCTATAATTTCGTTGTGCGTCTTTTGACTTTTGTCTGTTTTCACGCTTTCGTGTTTGGTTTTTATTCTTTCTGCTGAGCACAAAGCAAAATGCCGGGTAACGTCCGCAAAACATGATGGCGCGTCTCTCATTTCGCTGCTTTCCCTTCCGCTTTCTGTGCATGTGTATACACGGCCCTCTGCTCTGGGCCCTGACTCGCATGCAACTATGCATCTATTACAATTCGTCGCATTACTTGTCATGAAAGGTTTTTGCCGAGAATTTCTGCAGATATTGAATTGAAATCATGGATATAGTCAAATAGAGGTATTAAAAACTTCTCTGCTCTCTTTATCATATGCGGTCGGGAGTAGACTTTCATATATGTATACTTATGCGTATATGTGCCCTTAAGCACATTGATGAATGATTTTAAAATTTCGTTGGTATTTAAGTCAATAGTTCCTACCCAAGCAAATTCTTAAATTTTTGTTGCCCGCGTTGCAGTTGCATTCCCAGCGGTTTCCTCTTGTCTTCTATGTCTTTCTCTTCAGGCATTTGTTCATCTCCATTCGCATGTACTCATATTTTAATCATCATCTTCACTTCGCCAGCGCAATTTGTCAACCAACCTTATATTTATTACACATGCTCGCACATTCGCATCATGTGTATCTTGCTGCCCTGCAGGAAATTCCGGTCACAAAGTGGGGATACAAGTATTACCGCAAATATCTAAATTTTAGTTTATTTTAGCTCTGTATACTTTTCTCCAAAATTAAGTCAGCCTGTAATATATACA